TACTGTCAGATATCAAGTCATGATGAAAAGAATTCTAGTCACAAATATTTGATGTATAACAACTTAAAGAACCATGGAAGAAGTATACAAATCCATTAGAACTGTTTATAGACAATCCTACGAAAACTTGATTTATTAAAGCTTAGGATGCTTATTACTCTCAGTGCTTCAACTGGGAGAATTTTTACATTACTTCCATTGTATTACTGTGGTGGTGTTATTTTGCATTTGAGGCAATATGTGATGTAGTTGGCAAGGTCTTGCAGCATCTCACTGCGGTTGGCAGCTGGCTCACAAAGCAGGGTAGATGTGTGTGGGCATCCACTTGCTTTTGGAAGTCAAAACAGCCATCCATAACTTTCCCCTTGGAACAAGCTAAACAAGGGGGAATTCTTGTTTTTAACTGCTGTGGATAGATTTCAACACATCACAATCTGTCAGCAGCTCCTGTGTGACTCAGAGCTGTGATAAGAGCAATCTTACAACTCTGGATGATAGCAGGGATTTGCCTTAAATAAACCATTTATTCTGCTTCTGGTGAGCACGCCACTGCTGCAGCACATGAGAAAAGGTTCTTAATGATTACAGCAGCATTATTTGAATCAAAAGTGTGTTTTTCACATGTTTTGGCAGTCTTTACTATGGCAGATAAATAGTGGCTTTGTGTTCTCATAGCAGGAAGTATTGTATGTAAATACACTTAAAGTTGCATTTTAATTGCAAAATAAATTTCTGGGTTGCTTTAGCTATTATGATAGCTCTTGCTTTTAACAACTAGCCATTGATGGGGATGTTAGTAAATACTGCTTACAGTTTTGTTCTGTGCTGGAACTAACATTAACCAGTAAGACTAGATATCTTGATGTAAATGCCTTTGCAAGAGGCAGCTTTAGAGAATCTTATAGAGGGGGAAAACCAGAGAGATTCTGGGGAGGCTTTTTGGCTTGAACAGAAAGCTTCTGCATTGTGTTGTCAGTTTTAAATCTTGAACCAGATTTACAGAGCAACAGGTTTTTTTCTTAGTTTATATGGTGAGAGACTTGAGAAACAGCTTTTCTATTATTAAAGTTTTAAGATAATTTCTGATTATTTCTCCAGTTGTAATCCTTTTGCTGCATTTTAAATATAATCCAGAAGCATGTACAATTTAGTGTCAGTCTATTAGAAAAAACTTACAGACATGTTTGTACCTTCCACTAGTATTAAAATGTATAACCGTAGCGACTTTCAAGCTAATTTATGTTATTTCTAGGAAATTTACAAATACTGAGTATCTCTAACTTTTTTTCCTCTCCCATTGTGTTTTTTTCCTAGCTGGAAAAGAAGCAAACAACCCCTCCATTTCAGCCTCAGATCACAGATGATTATGGTTTGGACAACTTTGATACGCAGTTCACCAGTGAACCTGTGCAGCTAACCCCAGATGATGAGTAAGCTTTCTTTTTCCCTGCATACAGTTGTACATTAAATTTATTTTATATTATAAAAGCTGTTTTCTCATAGTGATCTTTAAATATGTACTTAGCTTTAGTACATAGTCAATGTCTTCAAATATTCTACAACTTTACTTTCTATATATTAGAAAATTGCTCATAATCCCTTAAGTTGGTCAGAACACCTCATTAATTTACTGTTGAGCACGTGCTTGCTCAACATCAAAATTTAGTTCTAACCCAGGCAGTTTGAATCTTAGATTGTCCAAACGCTACTAAAGTAACTGTACACAGTTTGGGGTATTTACAGAAGTGCTAAGCTCAAGTTGGAAGCTTGGCTGAATAGACAAGGGGAAGCTCTGTGCAGTACGGGGGAAAACATCAGAAGAAACATTCTTGTAGCTGTCACTTGTGTGTGAAGCATTTAGTGCACGGTGCTGTTTTGCCACAAGTACAGTGAAGCTATTTGCTGCTCATCTGGCATTTTGGTGCAGAACAAAAGTGAATCAGGAAATGTTGAGCTTTCCCAAAAACAGACAATACTGAAATTGCAGTGCAGCAAGAATTTTTTCAGGTGAGCTTTACTGTGAGAGAGCAGGAAAGCTTTGCTTCTACTTCATACGCTTGCTGTTTATTTTCAGTATTTTTAATTTCCTCTGCTTGCTTTCTCCTTATTAGGCTGTAGACTATTCTGCATCTGTTTTCCAAACACTTGCAGCCTGCTGCCTTGTTCACTGTATTCATGTTTGAAGAAAACCAATTTGTTGTGTTCCAGGGCTATAACTGAATTCTGCAGAGCTGGTTAATGAAAGCCCAGATCAATCTGTGGCTCTTTTTGGGTGCCTAATAAAGCTGATTCTGAAGTACTGCTTTTGGAACTGGGCATTTAGTAATGGATTTACGATTTCTAATTTATCAGATACTGCTTGAAGTGCTGCATATAGTTGTGTGCCATCTGTGCAAGAGGCTGTTGTGTATCATAACTATTAGCAGCAGGCACATTCCAGCCATATATGCTTGTGTGCTTCCCTTCTTCCTTGCTGCTACACAACAGAGCTGAACTCTTCTGAAAGACAACGGCATTTCAGAGCCTCTTTGTATTATAAAGTGCCTGCTATAATCCTAGGTTGGCCCCATGAATGGGATGAACCATGAGTATGAAATATATGTTCAGAGATGCCCCGGTCTTTTGTCTCATTTGTTGATGCTTCTGTATAACTCTGTATGACACAGCTTTCTGTAGGGTGTTCTGCTGCTAGCTGAGGAAAATAGACATAGCAACAACACTAGCTGCAACTTGTAAAATGAAATTTGTTTTTTGTTTTTCAGAGATATAATAAAACGAATAGACCAGTCAGAATTTGAAGGATTTGAATATATTAATCCATTGTTGCTGTCAACGGAAGAAACAGTATGAAGGAAAGGCATCTTTGCTGTGGACAATGTGAATGACCTTAAATTTATACTTTACTACAGTATATGCATGCGAGGCTGGGGAACTGTAAGATTCTGGATGGAGACCAATGATTTAAAAAAAATAATTGCTGCTGAAAATCAAAGAAGAGAATAATGATTTTGGTGGGTGTCTTACCACCACTAAGTTATTCTTAAATTCTGGGCACTGACACAACTGGCTTCATTAATGAAGGAATTTGCATTTTGTGCCTATTTCATGAAGGATTGAAACACTCATTGCATCTCTGGGAAAGGAGTTTCTGAACAAGTTTGAGAACTGCACACTTTCTACAAACATTTGATGCAATGAGCAACCAGTTGAAGAATATTAGTGTAACATCCTGAAGAATAAAATATATTATGGTGGTGTTGAAGCTTATTTTTGATGCCTTTTTTCACAAGTGGTACCTGTCTAAACGTCTCAGATGTATTTAAAAGGAGTTGTGTTTTATTAGCAATCAAAACATAAGTTTGGGTACAAGATTTAAGTGCCTAAATGGATAAACTGCTTTGAAGAGTTGTTACATATTTGGAACGTTCTTAAACCTGGTAAGTTCTGCTTGTTAATATTCAAGTAATCATTTACGTATAAACATGGTTCACAGCTGCAACCTAATGTTCACTTGTTTCTTTGTAGAATTTGACATGTGGAGTGACTCAGCAATATTAATTCCAAGTTAGATTTTATAGTATCAATTTCAAAATCTGTTGTTTTAAATTCCAAATTTACCAAAATGTATCAATTGAAGGAAACTAAATTTGCACAGGAAGGATTTCTGGAAATACTGAAGCAGTGCCTACACCTACAGTGATATTGTCTATCAGATTTTTGGAAAGGATTCTCATCAACAGTACAAATACTCAATACAGGAAGCATAATAAAGCATAGCCTTAAAGTTTAAATAGTGAATCCAGAATAACCATTATAGTCAACTTTCCTGATAAAGCACACCTCCTGCTTATGATAAACTGTCTGCTTACAATTACTCGGTGTATATTAATAAACTAATCATTCTACATAAAAGAATGGGATGTTTTGGTAAAAATGGTTTGCATCAAAGTAGTAACTTTTTTTTAATTGAGGAACAAAGCATACCCAAGAGCTTGGGTACACAACAGTAACTGTCAAACCCCTTCTTGTAGAAACTGGAGGGTGGGGTATGGGACAGGGAAGGTGGGGAAAGGTGTGTTCCATCCAGGTCAGTTACCAGCTTGGAAAAGCTCTGTCACTATGTATGGGAATTAGTGTGCTACTTAGTGTGCTGTCTGACATGTCAGATGCTTGTGAGGACTCACATGCCTCTACAAGTAACAACATGAGGCACTATTTCTTTTTGCTGGGTTTTTGGTTAACTATATTGTGTGGGTTGTAAATACAAAACAGGAAATAATGAGAAACCCTGTGCCATGTCATCTCACCTAATTTGGTGTAAATTGCAGGACGAAATGCAACACTCTCACTTTCTTTGTATTAACATATGGTTTTCTCAGGGTACAGCATTGCATTAGGTGCTGAACATGACATCTTTTGGATTCACATCCAAGTCATGAGGTGCTAGGATGAGACTGCCAAAACATTGTTTAAAACTTTCAATTAACCATTGATTAACAGTCTACATTTTGTATCCCTTCATTAGCAACAATTATGCAGATGTGTGGTTTAGTTCTATTAATCCCATTCAGATCTAAGTTGTGGGTTTCTCTCAGTTGGACTGTAGCTTTTTATATTAAGCAAGATGTGTTTTAATCAGCGCTAAATAATTTAACCAGTAAGAAGTACTTGCCTCAAATACCTGGGTTTTAGATACTTTATCTAGTAAAGAAAATATTTTATCTTCTAAATCTGTCATTTTCCAATTATTTTCTCCTTCTCCTTGTCAACTGCTTTGTTTACCCTGAAAACTTTCTGTTTTCACTACACTAGCGATGCAGGCAGCTCATGAAAGGAAATGGGGCAGATTAAGCTGTCCTCTGACATGCTGAGGCATAGAACTTGAAAGATTATAAATGTAATTTGTTGTTTTTTGTTTTTTTAACCGTGTTCCTGGGTGGCCAGAACATTTTTGGGAGGGAGGGAAGCAGAACAGAGATGTATCTGCTGAACAAACATTGTAAAGAATACTTGATTTATTTAAAAACTTACAGGCATTTACAATGTTGCTGTGTTGCCAAATAGTTTGCTGGATACAAGTTTGGTTGCTCATGTGCAAGTGTATGAATAATGTTCTGTTCATAATGGAGGGGAAATTTTTTATATAAAGTACTTGTTTTATAAATAAAAGAAAATGAAGGATGTAATTAAATGTGTGGTTTAAAAAAAAAATCCTAATATATTGCAAATGGATCTGGTTATGATATATAGTTGTCTTATTTGAAATAGTAAATGAAAATTCTAGCTAATATAATGATTGTAAAACAGTAAATATGTTCTTGTAGTTTTGTATAATTAATTAGTTGGGATCTTTGACCAGTTTTATTTGTGCAGAAGATGGTATACTAATCCATAACAGCTAAGATCATTTATATTCTTGCACATCTATTAAAGACTTTAATGAAAAAGTTAATTGTTATTATTTATCAGTAAACTATGTCCAACTTGCACTTTTTAAAGCGACCTTATTGTAAATTAACCTACAGAATTATGCCTGTACTTCAATACTGTTATCTGTTTATTCAATGGACTTGGCTCACATCTGAACTGCTGGCTCTTGAGGTCCAGAAGAAAGGTTTGCTGAGACATAACTTCAGATACTGGTTTGTTGAGCTCTTTTTCATGTTCTGTGAAGGCAGTTGTATGTGCTTTTCTCAGCTATTTTGGTTATATGTGAGAGGATTTAAAATGATCCCAAACAACAGGCAGGTGGCACTTGACCTTCCCTTTCAGTTCATGATCTACGATATTTCAGGAAGTTTGAGACAAGGACATGTTTCCTTGACACATCTTTCCTTTTCCTTTGAGAAAGGTTCATACTCAACTTTGTCCCTTTGCTCTCCGTTATTCTGGATTACCACATGATATCATCTGTGCTTTCAGATAAGCATCTAGCAAGATGGCCATCGATATCCAATTGTGACAGCCTGCAAAAAAAAATAAAAATCAGTGAGACAGAGTCAAATAATTCAATTTATGCCACTCCTCCCCCCTCCTCAATTCCTGTAAAATCTCAGTGATGAAGCCATTCTTTTGTTTCATTCAGCCTTCCAGAGAAGGAAAGTATTTGGCAGAGACATCCTGCACTGTTCGAGGACCTGTTCAGAGCCATATTAGGTTTCAGCAACTGCAAAAGCCTAAATGCTAGTAAGTAGTGTAATTTCAAGAAAAAACATAACTCACATTGTACAGTAAATTATAGAGTAGTGCTAAATTGCTGGAAGGAAGATTTTTTAATAGAGGTAGTTATAGAGTAACGGAGGGCTGAATTCTGCCATTAAAAAGCCAAGTAAAAAATTTGCCTACTTTATTTTCATAACATCACGTAGAATGTAGCCAGTATTGCTTTTTGTATAGTTGGAAGACAGTACAAAGAAATAGGAGACTTACGTTTCACTGAAACGAATCAGACACATTGGGCAGCTGTCCAGAGTTGAAGATCCTTCACTCTGCTGTCCAGAATTCTCCTTGCAGCTCTCGTTTCCAGCCATACTCACCAGAGGTTTCCTTTCTGCAGGCACGCTTCTGGTCTCACCAAGTGAAATACTGCTTTGATGCATTTGAGCTTGAAGTTCTCTTTTCTCTTGTTTTCTGTTCTCCTCACTGTTCTGCACAGTCTCTCTGCAGTGCTGTTGAATGCTTGGAGCTTTTACAGTTCTTTGTGACGATGCCAGGTAGCATGTAGAAGTTTTATGCTGAGTGTCTTTAAATGGCTTGAGATCTACATCTGCCTTGGAAAAACCTCCCCTGTCTTCCCCAGCCATGTTTTTTGGATCTGTATTAGTTTTAAAGCATCTTTGCTCAGATGTAGAAGGTAAACTTTTCAGTTCATCTTCTTGGTACCATTCTTCATGTAGATGCTCCGTTTGTGTTTCTATTAGCTGAGGGGAGCTAAAATCTTCTGGTTTAAAATTTTGTTCTTTGTGAAAGGATGGGAACGATGTCCAGTGAAAGTCTGTCATTCCAATTTTGAAAACTTCTTGTTTTTGTAGACTCTCTTCCTCAGAGCTCTGTAACATACCCAGAATGTCTTCAGAACAAATCCATACACTAAAAACAAAGCTGGACGTACTATAAAAACTGAGAAAGCTAACCTACATTGGAAGCAATGAGCATCTTATTTACATCTATCTCCAGTACTTGCAAACCAATTAACAACTTCCTAGAAGTGTCTTAACATTTCTAAATAATTCCCACTGATTGAACACAAATAGGATATTCTTTTTGTATGTCCCACAGAAAATACTCACCTGCTGTTGTTTAGGAGGGGAAAAAAAAAAATCTGCTTTAGAAGTGCGGTGTCCTTTATTTTAAGATTCTATTCAGTAATAGAATAGTGTAAAACCTGGTACTGTGTAATTAATCTATTACCGTTTGCTTTTTCCAATTCCCTTCCTTTAGGCATGTGCTGGTACTTACGCTTGCACAAAGAACCTCTTTGCAGGAAAACATGAATTGTCCTTATGTTCCCTGCAATATGTAGAGAGTAAAGAGCTGCAAATCATCTATTTAAAAGTTATTTCAGAGTGTTGTCTCTGATATCCTCGTTCAGACTGTCAGTATTGTAAACATGGCACAAAGTGAAGACAAACAGGCTACAGTGCAATTCCTTTACCTTTCTGAAGAACTCTGGAAAATTAGGCACTGTTTGCCAGCTTGTGCATTGCAAATCTTGACTGATGTTCCTCAGTAGCAAGCTCCATGTTTTTTCATACTCATTTAAATCATTTCTTTCAAACCAGGAACTTCTGTCAGTCGATGCTCTGAAAAGCAAGGGAGTTCCAGTAGTTAGGGTGGGGAAAGAAGGGGAAAAAAATACTTTACATAGCTATTATTCTGCCTCTTAATTCATCTAGCGTAGTGCTGAGATTTCCTAAAATATTTATGTTCTTAGCTGTTGCTTTAGCAACAGATGTTTTAAAATCAAATGTCTGGTAGCTGATGGTGTGTTACCCTATTTCAGCCCAACACAATGGCTAAGCATGCTCACCTCCTCTGTTCCTGGCTAAGCACAAGTAGGGGTTTTATGATTGCAAACTGGTGTGCCTCTTCCATTTGCACTACACAGAATTCCCTTCTTACCTATTTTCTGTTGATCAAGCAGCACTATGTGCTGAAGGTGGTATTATATTTGACAATTTTGGCATGTAAAACCACAGAGAGGCACTTAAAAGCTATTTGTCAGTAGGAATAAGTACACCAATGCAGACTTCTCACAGTTTAAAAGAGGTGAGACTCCCTGTGGAGGAAAGAAAGTTTAGCTGTTTATTATACCGCTTGTTTATCAAGGGAACCTTTGTCTAGCCTACAGCAAGCTTCTTCTAGAACAAAGAGAAATTATTTTGTCTGTAAGCTCATTTTGCAGTCTACCCTTGCTTTCCAAATCATCCAGTAAAAGCACTAACTTCTACTTGTAACAAATGAGATACAGGCACTTATTCTTGTCTTCGTCTCTGAGTGGTACAGTGAAGTGTAGCTGCTGTTTTCTTCTGGAAGACCAAACGTGGCACCTGCTGAGCACGGAATCATTGTGTGCATTGAGGAAGGCAACGCTTCCTGTGTGTGCTCGGCTGCTCCCATGTGGCAATCTGAAATTACTGATTAGCTTTCTAAACAACTCTATCTAATCCTTCCTAGGAAGGCATTAGAAAGGATTAACCATAAAGTAAGCATAATAAGGGTTTTATGCGTGCAGGGTTGTGTCGAGCCAATTGGAAGAGGAAGGATTGTCACTGAGAATTGTGCTCTGCTGTTCTCACTTCTGGCTGAAGCGTCTTCTGGGCTGGCAGCCCTGAGGTGATGCTGAATGATGAGGACGATTCTCAAGAACACCTGAGGAGGTTTTGGACGGACCTCCTTTCCTCCATCCTCCCTTACCCGAGGGCTGGAAAAGAGAACTCTTTCTGCTCTGAAGAAAGCCAGCTTCGTTTTCACACATCAGCTTTCCTCACCGGTCCCATCCCGCCGTGGCAAAGGCAGAAGGCGCAGGGCATGTGCGGTGCGTGTCGAGTTTTTATAAGACCTCGCGTGTTTTATGAAGGGACTTTAAATACAACCACACAACGTGCTGGAGACACAACGGCGCCCGAGGCGCTGCCCGCGGCCGCGTGAGGCGGTGCTGCCGCTCCCGCCCTCCGTGAAGGCGGGAAACGCCCCCCCACGCCAGGCCCCTTTCGCGGAGCCCTTCCCCGCCCTGCCCGCACTCACTGGCGCTCCGGGCCGCAGGCTGTCGGCGCCTTCCTGGGTTTGAGGCGCAGCTTGGCGGCTCCTTCCTCAGCCATGGCAGCGGCACGCGCGAGGACGGTTGAGGAGGCGGCGCTGCGCGCGCTCGGCCGTTGGGCGGGAAAGGCGCCGCCTCCGCGCGGCCGTTGGGCGGCTCCGCTCCTCCTGACGGGGCGCTCCGCCCTCGGAGCTGCGCCGGCTGAACGCTGAGGGAGGCGGGCTGAACGGGGAGGCGTCGCCCCGCCGCGTGATGGGCTGGGCTCGGCCCGTAGTTAATAGCTCGGATTGGAAAGCTGTCTCCTTAGTAATAATTTGTGTTTTTTGTAGCGTTTTGGTCAACGCGGGGGTTGGAGCGGCCGCCTCCCGCTCTGCGCAGCTGTGAGGGAGCGGCTCACAGCAAAGCGCTCCGTGGGTCCTGGTGACCGCAGCTGCGCGCTGCCGTGCGTGGCTGCAGCCAGCGGCTGCAAAGTCAAATGTTAAAGTAAGTTAAGAATACATCTCAGTTCTGATTCCTTCTCCAGAAGAAGCGATGCTGATCAGTCATTCTGACAGGACGGTTTGAAGTGCTTTTCTCATCAGCTGCAGCACCCCAGAAGTAACTGTGGTGGTTTTTGCTTCTGCTGCCATTTAGAAGCTGCTTCCCTCAGAGAGGAGATGAGGCTCCTCGTGTAGGTCTTCCCTTCCCCCTGGCAGGGCAGGCACTATCAGCATCCCAGGCAGAACCAGGTGAGGAGTGGCTTTAAGAAATGGTTTTAAGTTGATATAAATGGTTTTAAGTTGAGGGAGGAGAGATTTCAGTTGGATGTCAGGAGGAAGTTGTTTGCTGTGAGAGTGGTGAAGTGCTGGAACAGCTGCCCAGAGAGGCTGTGGATGCCCCGTCCATCCCTGGAGGTGTTCAAGGTCAGGTTGGATGGGGCCCTGGGCTGCTGTGAAATGTGGAGGTTGGTGGCCCTGCGTGTGGCAGGGGGTTGGAGCTTCATCATCCTTGAGGTCCTTCCAACCCTGGCCATTCTGTGGTTCTGTGAGGAGTGGTGAATGTGGAGCTTTTTGGCTGCAGGAAGGACCGCAGTGATGGCAGCAGACAGCAAAGAACAGCAGGAGGAACTGCACAGAAATAAAGTGTAGGCGGAAAGGGGCTCAGCCGTGTGCGTGGCTGAAAATGCCATGACAAGGGAAGTGAGCTCTGATTTTATTGGCTGGCCTTCATTTAAGGCTGTGAATGATGTTACACTGCTAATAACCACCGCTTGGCGGCAGCAAACAGCATAGAAATCTTGTTTGAAGAAAATGTGAGGGGCAGTGAGAGATTCTTGGCTGAGCTCACGTCTGCGGGCGCCTGTGCGTATTCCTGGGTGCATCTACAGGAATGACTGCTCACACAGCAGTCCTTCCTTTGTTCCTGTGATGTCTGTCAGTGCTTTACCCATCTTCTGACCCCTTGCATCCTAGCTGGGCAATCCTCTCTTCCTAAAGCATGCATTGCACTTGCAGGTTGGTGCTGTTGGATATGGCCATCAGAAGTGTTGGCTGTTTTTCGTGCTGCGGGTGTTGCTGTGCAGTACTGTGACTGGTGCATTGTAACATTTGCAACAGCTTTGTTATGAGTGAACTTAAAAATTAATCATTGTGCAGCAAGGATAACAAGTGAAAGAATATAATGAAAGGAATAGTGGAAATTACTAGTGTAGCTGATGATTTTTAATTTGCATCTTTCCAGAATTAAAAGTGGACTTGCCATAGCATAAAGGTGAAGAGTGGAATAGCTCCTGGTTCTGCCATGCTGGGTGAGACCATTGCTATAGTTTCCTCAACTGGCATGGAAATCCCATTATGTCTCTCTTGACTTTGAGTCTTGCTTAATTCAATAACTGCAGTGTTTTGTGATCTTACACAAAAGTTCTCATGGAAATGCAAAGACAAGTCTTCATCATCAGCAGCCTTAACTGGATTTGAGCCAACGGTCGAAGGATTTGAGCTTTTGGAAGCTAGAATGCTTCTACAGATTATCTTTAGGGATTTCCTTGTAAATGGAGTGCCAGCATGTGCAGTTATCTACTCCCTGTAGAGGCTCATCGAGCTGCACATGCTTAATCTTTACTTACATGTTTCCTGATTCTTGCTGTAAATTGGGCCTCAGTTTTAACTTTTGCTCTCAGGAAGAAGGGGCTATTATAACAAATTCTAATCCTTTTGCAATTCCACAATCATTTAAGCCTGCCAAACAAACGAAGTGATCTTTTCCTGGGCTGAGGGAAAGAGGAGAGTGTAAAACGCAGGTGGCAGCATTTGCTGGGGAAGAACTGGTACATTATCAACTAATCCGCCTTCTGCTATTTCTGATTTCCTACCCAACAGCTGCAACATTGAATGAGAGCTTCTGCATTTGGGAAGAATTAGAAAGCCTGGTAATGCAGGGTCTCTATTACAGATACAACAGCTCACAGACTGGGAGGAGATTTTTGCTGCCGGTGTAGAATTTGGAGTGTCAGGCGTTTGATAGCCTGGAAAAATTGTAATTTTCAGCTATTGTTATGGAGTATTCGATGAAGAAGTGGCACCGTGGTCTCTTCAAGGTTTCTCTCAGAGCCTGATAGAACTGTATGCATGAGCTACTATTTTGTTAATGTACCACTTTGAGGCTAAAGCCCACACAGTTGTTGTTAAAACTTTTATTTATTTTTTATGGCAACTGATGCTGTCAGATAGTTTTGGTCCTTTTAGATATCTTTGGTTCTATGGCAATAGCTCCAGGATCAGAGGAGAATGTTAAAAATAAATAGTGCTTTGCTAGAAAATCGAAATGTTATTGTGTTGTGATTACTTGATCTAATTCACACTTGGTTAAGGAGTAGATGTTGATAAATTTTGTTCTTGTCAAACACGCTGTGACTTCACTCTAGAATTAGCATGTCCTTTCTGCTAAATGCTGCAAAGAAAATGTCCCTAAAGATAGCACAGGGAGCTGAAGTACGTGTAGTAAAACATCAGCGAGAGCTCCTGCAGCAATGGGACTTCCAGCATTCTGTCCTCTGCAGCCCAGCAGCAGCAAATGCAGCACTGGGAAGAGAAACTCAGCTGTATGGGCTCACGCAGTACTGATAACTGTCTGCAGAGAGATGGGAAATTCTGACTACTTTCATTGATGGGACCTATTACAATTCAAGCCACAAAATTAAGAAAGCTGTGAAAGATTTCCTTTAGCACGGCAGGAGAATAATGATGACGTGCAGTTTCGTTCTGAGAAGTGCGAGCCCATTGCCATTTCTTGAGAAAATCAGCTGAATGGAGACAGTTATGTAAGCTCTCCCTAATTTTAGTGCTAGGTGACGTAGCCTTTAATGAAAAGTCATTGGCTTTGGAACCTGCTTCCTCCGGTACCGCACCGGAACTTGAATTTGTTAATGTGCACAGATGAGTGAGCAGCTCATCTTTTCCATCCATCCTTCCCATTCAAAGTGTAGGAGCGGGTTCAGGACCTGTGTAGCTGTACGTAGAAAATCCAGCCATGTGGATTTATGTGCCAAGATAGGAAGACCTAAAAAAAGAGGGCTGGGGAGAGTGGCATGGCATTTGTGGGTACCAGGTTGCCAAGGAGGCATATTGTATTGAAACAGTTGCCTGGGAAACATTTAAAAATACGTTGAGTGGAAAAACATATGTGATGTGCCCACAAGTGTTCTGTGTGAATGAAATGCCATAGCTGATGATGGCACCAAAAGGCTGTTACTATTACATGAAAAGGTGCTGCAAGTGATGTTTTCTTTTCCTGTTTGTTTGTTTGCTTTTCTCCCTGTGCCCTACTTGAAGGAGGTGTGCTGGAGGAGGATTGCTTTGTTCCTGGCCAATGGACTAAAGAAAACATAGAGAAAAAGGTGCACACAGTCATCATTGTCGTCAGCAACTGGAGATGGTAAGAGTCATTTAGCTTCATTTAGACAACCTAAACCAAATTGTCAAGAAGCCTGCACAATTACCTCAAGTTACAAGTAACAGCAATACTGAAACTACTGCAGTTAAGTAAAAATAAGTGGTTCTCTGAACACACCACTTTAATTTGTGCTAAGATCATAATTTGGGCACAGTTTGCTCAAGGTTCTGAGTAGATCCAATGGAAAACTGTGGATCAGATAAAGTCTTCTGTGTCTCAGTCACGTCCTGGTACCACTCATCATTTTTCTGGCCCACTGTGTGTTTGGTTAAATCAAGTCCTGATGTTTCTAGGCCCTGGGGTTAGTGTGAGAGAGGCGGGGAGAATCTGCCTTTCATCTTCCTCTACAATTTTGCAATGTGACTGAAAACTGTTGGAGAGAATGTTTCAGATCTCAAACAAAGATTAGGTTTGATGGCATGGAGCCCTGGGTTCTGTGGCCCAGCCTAGGATTCTGCTGAGGGAGTTGTATAATCTGCCCACATTTTAAAGGATTTTGGCTCTGAATTTAGGATCAAAAATGGCTTGAGGTTTTCACGTTTCTGTCTTCTTTCTTTCCTTCTTTCTTTCTTTTTTAATGTGTGTCTCATAATATTGTGGCCTATAGCCATTTGAATTTGTCCTGTTTTCTGTGCATCCTTTGAAATCAATGTACTTAAGGGCTCCGCCAAAAGAAAAAAAATATATATCCATAAGTAATAGCTGCAGTAATTACAGAAGATCTCATGTCTTTTTTATGGGCATGAAACCACAAAACAGTGGGGCAAAAATGCCAGTACCAGTTAATGTGGCACGTTGGTACTAGAGCAGTGTATAAAATCAACTTTAAATAGAACATAATTGAACAGAAAAGCATTTATTGGTAAAAACAAACATGGAAAATAGGTTTGTTTAGTTTAGTTTTTTTTATTATTAAGGACTAACAAGTGTTTAGAAAGCCTATTAAATCTGAATGTATAGTCAAAGCCATTAAGGCAACTATGGATCTTCTCACTGAGAGTATTGTGATTGTGATCCAGTGGTGCAGTGGCTATGCTGCATTACAGAAAATCCTTGCAAATACTCAGGATGTTCCTTGCTAAATTCCTTCATTTTTGATACTTATTCTTCTGTCCTTCATTAGTGCTTGACTTGATAGAAGTGCAAACTGGGATTAATTTGGAAGACCTGATGGTAAAATACAGTAGAGCTATGGTTTCTCATTTCCAGATGTCATATCAGACTCAGGCTAACCTGAGCTTGGTTTATTTACATAGTTTCAGTTCATTGAGCATAAAACAATCTTGTGACATTGTCAATATGAAAGGTCATTCTGCTCAGATTGTATCTTGTTGTAACAGAATTGTGGCACCTTGTCAAAGATATTAAAGTAGATGTTTGCACCTCCCAGCATCTGTAAATCAAAACCATTCAGACTACTTTAAATAAAAAACCACCAAATGACAACAACCCCCCCCCCCTACACACACACAAAAAAAACCACCAACAAACAAAACAACAAAAAAAAATGACATAATCATATCACCTCCAAGCAGTATTGCTGTGCAACTGGAGCTTCACACTGCTTCTCCCTTCATGAGTGAGTTTAAAATTAGGCTGGTTCTGGACTGTACTTGTACCTGTTCATGAAGCAGGCACAAGACTAACCTTCCTTTATAGCAGCGTTTTACTTCCAGATGTTTTGGCACCATGTCTTTCATCAGCAGCTTTGAATTCACTAGAAAAAAAATTAAAAACTAATAATAGGAAAAGTCTTCCCCTAACATCTTGTCTTCCAGAGTATTGATAAACATTAGTGCAAACATGCAGTATCCTTTGCCCCAAAGGCGTGCTCTGGCTTTAGTACCATACTTCTAATGACAAACATTCACCTAGTTTACCATATGCATTCTTTTATCTTAACTGTTCTCTCTGCATGTTAGATTTATTTCTACCCATAATGTATTTCATGTGTGTTAGTTGTAAATATTGTGCTCATAAATCATCCTGGGCCATCCAGCCCTGAGGATGGAGACAGCTTACAATAGATCTGTCTGCTTCAGATTGGGAGACTCTACTAGTTTGCTGTTTTTTCCATCTCCTGGCTCTGGTAATGGCATGTTGCCAGTCTCCTGTCTCACATTAACAAGAATATTATATATACTGAATTTAAAGTGTTTTTCCTTCAGGAGTAGAAGAATGTAATGGAGCACACATCTGGCAGCATGACATCCTTCCTATGGGGTGCAATGTGCCCTCCGAGCACGGAATCATCACTGTGGATTCCTGCTTCAGTCCTGTGGGCATGAGTTGTACTGTGTGCACTGAGGTAGGTCTTAGAGCAGGTTGGGGAAGCTTTGTGTCAGGGGTTGCATGCACACGTCCACAGTATATAATGAAAAACTGGTCAGACTTCCCTCCCTTCAGCAAAACGTCTAAATTAAGTACTGCAGAACAGAAGAGTTGAGCATAATCCCAGGACTCCACCTTTTCATTTCATTTCTAGAACCAGCTCCATCTGTGTTCACACCTACTGACCCTGCTTTATTCGTATGTGGAATGGAAACTACTTGCCTCATTAAATGTTTATGGAAGATTTATTTGTTCATAAAGCATATGCCTGAGGACAGATCAGTACTACAGAAGTACCAAATTGCCCCCAAACTCCATAGGATTGTTACTACTCATCATCAATTAGTTTCATCTGGACTCTTCTCCCTTTGTCCTCTTGTGGGAAAGCTTGTCCACTTTGCAGGAACTACAAATAGTTTCTGCTCCTGCTGAATTATTACCTTTTTGCCAATTCTAAGAAGCTAGTGCTCTTAAAATACCTATGTTTGCATAAAACAAGTCTGCATTAAATTGAGTTGTCTGAAGTAATCAATATTCAATAAGCTTCTGCTGTTTTAATTGGCTTGTTTGTAGAAGTCTGAAATGGGCTGAGCTGCAGGTCTAAACTAAACAGAATCTGTTATACCAAAAATAAAAATACTCTGAAGAAGTGTATTTCTTTATAACAGTGCAGCTGAAAACACATTTACTGTAATTAATGCATACATACTTACTTATGCCTACAGTTCCTATCTTATTTATGCATATTTAAATGTAAAGACCTTAATGTGTATCTCACAATACATTCCAAGACAATAACTCTGCATAAACAAAGTTTCCTAGAGCAGTCTGTGACCCAGAGCACATGATGTGTTTCAGGAAAGCCAGAAAGGAGCACGGTGTCATCACCTGAGGGGAAACAAAAATCAGAAACGAGGAGGGGAAATTTTGGTGCTTATTTTTAGACTCTGTGGGTGAGTATTATTTTCAGCTCCTTTTATATTAATTTCTGCAGAACATGGTAGTAATGTGTGAATATGTGTGAAAGGATTTTGGTAGAGTATCACAATTTCTAGCTCAGCCTGAAGTGATCACTCACTAGCAGCTCCTGAAAAATCAGTACACTCATTTGTACCAGGATTAGGTAGCAGTGCAGATCATGTAGATGTGTCTGAGAAACATTACATGTGTTTATTCTGAACGAGTTCAGAAAAATCTGTCAGTGAAATAGGGTCAGTCCTCCACGTAGCGGAACATAGAGTGTTACTGGAGGTAATGCCAGTTAGTTCAAAGCTAGCTTTCAATATTTGAGTGTGGAGCTGTTTTTTCACTTGTGACGACATAACCTTCAGCGTCTTCTCTATTTAGGACAAGCCAACATGCTTGTAAGTTTTGTGGAAGAAAAAGCTGCCTGTTAATCAGCATTTTAGTGTCTCAGTATGCTTAAAATAAGCATTTTGTCACATTCAAGAAGCAGCGTCTTCATTGGTTTGCATTCTGGCACCACACTCAATGTTGTCAAGTGCTGTCAGTTGTCTTCTTTCTGTAACTTATTTACTGGGGGAGAGAGATTGAGATTGAAATTGAAACCTTCTGGTAACAATTTTCATAAGATACATTTTGGATGTGCTGTAGAAGTATCTCCAATGTTACAAAGAACAACAGAATTGAGGAGTAATAGCCTCATCTTGTGCCCTAGAGAGGTCCCACTTACAGCCTTTGACTACAGTATAGGACAGGGAACAAAAGCTAAAATTTCCCTATTGCACAGTGAATACAGTGAGCGGAAGGAAAGAAGATACCATCTTATCAAAGGATCTTCTGATTTCCTTTATAAACAGCTAAGAAGAAGCTTTACCACTTCCCTCACTCAGTATTAAGCAAAGGACTTTTGGAAGGACAACAGATGATACGTCTACCAGAATCCTCTTTGACTGTCTTAGGATGTGTCTTTAGTTTAAGTGTCAATAAAAACAAATACTGATTTAAAGCCAGATGTTTCTAATTAGTCTGCAGTGTTGTATTTTAATCTGATGTGGGGAAAGAAGACTTTGGTCTTTGATTCAGGAAACCTGCTTTTGTCACTGACCCTGAAGCTGTCCTTGTGGCTGACTTCATGTGAGTCATTGCATCTCTATGCCACTCTCACACTTCTCAAACTCATCAGCATCACCTTACACAATAAAGGTAAATTATTCGACAAGATATCACTGCAATTAAATTCAATAATTGGCAGAAATTTACAGTCAGATCATTCTAAATAAGGACCAAGTGCAGTGGACACGTTAAAGCTATTCTGGTAACTTATACTGTAAATTGTTTTATTGTGCAGTAGCAATTTCAGAAAATTCTTAGGGCAAAAAATGGACAATTAGTCTTGTTTTGAATGTTGCAACGGAGATGAAAATATAGAAAAGAGAAATTATTTCCATTATAAAATGTCAGGAGTGTATGGCTATAATGATCCTTAAGAGGAGATACTGCAAGAAATAGACTGGATTAAATTCTTGCAAACATTCATGGAGTAAAAATATCATTAAAACATTCTAAGAGCCATGTGATCAGAAAGTGTAAAAGCAGTGCTCTGGAAATGAATGTTTTCCCAAGAAAGCTTTCCATTAAGAGCATGGGAGACTGCACTATTTCTTGTGCTAAAAAATAAAAGTTACATTCCAACTTTAAAGAGACAGTGCTTCCATAGAACTTGCACACACAAGATTATGAAAGAAAATAAGTTTAGGACTTGGTCTGTATTTTTTTTTCAAGTGTGCACTTAGCACTCCTTTTGTGTTTTTCCATGTGGATGATAAAATGTAGATGGAGCAGTTTCACAATTGCTTCCATTTGATTTCTTTTTTTCTGATTTGTATGCACTTGTGGAATTGCTGCTATTGGAAAAATAGTAATGAAATCACTCTCAGGAATGGAGTGCACAACATATTTTGTTGACATTTTGATATGTATGTCAAGTAATCCTTTTCTTGTCTAAGCTTTTGTAAGCTCACTTTTGGTGAGGACTGTTGTGCTCAGTGCCTAGCAAATGAAATGAGAAACTTTAATTGCTATTTTGAATCGAGTGTGTGCTAGTAGCAATGTAATGGTTGCTTCCTATAGGGTTATTTTTAAATGACCCATAAATAAACACTTACATGGTCTCAGATGTGTTCTGCCTCAATAATGAATGCAATTGGTCCTAATTGTTTTCCTTGGTAGCTCTCAGAAAGAGCTCTCATAGAGAACTTAAGACAACTGAGTTTTAATACTGCTTATTCCTTTGCTTTTCTTGGTGGCTCTTGGAAGTTTCTTGAAGCACTGAAACACACTGTTAAAACACTGTGGAAGTGAAGTGTTCCTCGTGCTGACAGAACCAGACCTGCTGTGTGGGCAAAAGTTTTCCTCTAGGGCTGTCATGTCTGACATCCTATCCTTCATTGGTAATAAATGCACAGAAAAAGGGAGTGAGGAAATGGACGGTTCTTGCACCAGTTCCTTCCTATGTGGAATCACAGGCTTGAGCTTATCAAATATACTATAAATATATGATTCTTCTCTCTTTTTGAGAGAAATATATATATTTATGCTTCATATATGTATTTCTCTCAAAAAGACAAAAGAATCATATATTTATCTATAAATATACAAAAAAGTGTGTGCTGTAGGATATACAGCAGAGAGCTTGGAAGGATTCAGAAAAGGATGAGACGTTTCTGGCTAGCAAGAGTACCCAGATTTGTCAGAGAAACACTGAGAAGCAACAAGAGAACTCTTGGTGGTGAAGGAAGAACTTGTATTTGGACTGGTGCCTTCTGAAGTGTCTTGAGCTTCTGCGTGAGGCAGCTCGTCATGGCCGGTGTCAGAAACAGGATAGTGGGCACTGTATGGGACACATTCCAGCAACTGCTGTGCTGAAAAAAATCAGCAAAAACATCCAATGACAGTAGGCCTCTTCCCAAGATTATTATGGAACAGAGGAGTGAGTTTTTGAGAGGAAGAAAATTGAAAATAAGGCCTGATTTAAGACATGTAAAACTGCTTGTTCCTGTGGGATTTTTGAGTGTTATCCTACCCCATAAATGAACTTTAACCCAGTACTAGCTCTCTCTCTCCTTCCTTCCCTGCCACCTCACATCTTAGTGTAGCTACTTGTACAAATTACTCACTTCTCCCCACAGAAAATAATCCAATGTCTGGATTTCTAAATTCACGTAACATTCAAATGGGAAATAGTTTTCGAGAAAAAAAAACAAAAAACAAAAAACAATAAACCTACTGGTAGTGGGTGGCACAAAGAGACTTATTTTCCATTCATGGCTTTATCTTTTAAGTGTATTTGATTTAGATTGATTTAACCTGGTGTGGGAATTGAAAGTTTGTGAAACTTCCTGCTCTGAATTGCAGCTTATATGAGTTGCTGGATGAATGTGTCTTACCATTCTTGTATCTTCTTTCTTGCATAATGATCCTTGATACTGATGAGTTTCCATCTCGTGCGTGGGCTGATGAGACAGTGCACTCACAACTGGTTAAAAGTACAGGAAGACTGTGCTTCTATCCAGACCTTCCTCATTTTTCTGAGAGAATTGCATTGTTTTGTCCTTTTGACTCACATTTTTTTTATTTTTATTTTTTATTTTATTTTTTTTCTGTCAGTACACTGTAACCTTTGTAAATGCTTTGAAACCCTGTTGGAGGACTGCTGAAATTCTTAGATTGAGGTTATACATGATTTTCTCCCTGATGCTTCCTTGCTGAGCTGGTAAATAACCCCAATCTTTCAAAGTGGAGATATGCTACCTGCCTTCCATAGTTACATCCCACTTGGTGAAAATGGCCTTGCAAACCTGGGGAAGAATTACGGATTCAATTCTTAAGTTCCTTCAGCCCATGCCACCCACCTTTTAATTGTTTACGGCTAATAAAAATGTCAGTGTTGTGACTACAGTAAGTAGGAAAGGGGAATATGACAAAGATTACAGATGGATAAATTGCAGGACTGAATGTTTCAAAGAAACATTATTACTGACATTGTTGGCCATTGAGCAATTTCAGGTATGAACCCAAAATGAAAGGTGCTATAAATCTATATCACATACCTCTGTCTGCATGCTTTGTCTAACCTAGATGTGCTCCCATTACAGCTTCTGTGGGCTCTGTAATCTGCATTGATCCAGCTGGACTGTGATTTTTGTGTAAGGAGACCCAACTTGCCATTTTTGTATCTTTCTGAGGTTTTCATTTCAAGCTTAAACACAGGAAAGTTTTCTCAAAGACTGATTTCTCAGCTTATCATCCAAATAATATTCTGGATTTTGCAGGATCATAACTTCTGTGTAAAGCTGTCCAATTGCTTTTTTGTGTTGATAAAGGACTTAGCTGGGCACCAAGAGATAAGACTATAGGATGCAGAAATAGCTGACTTAGTCATGTAGCCTTCCTGTACTGCATTTCCATATGGAAGTTATGGGTGGATATAACTATTTAACATTCTAATCCTACAGGGTGCTCAGCCATTGCATTTGATGGAAATCTGGGATACTTGACACCTTACAGAGTGCAGTTTTCTATAAAGGCTTTAGATTCCTGGCAGATTGTCAGCATAGAGCTCAAATTGATTAATCTAGTGCTGTTACTTTGATTCAGAATATGTTGTGTTCAGAGAGCAGATCTGACTGGAAACCTCAGGATCCAGCTTAGGGAAAAGTGCCAGGATCAAGACAGGAGTTTTGTTAGCATTGCCAGTTGAGAATGGCACTGGACTCTGCGGTAGCCTCGAGCTGATATTCTTTGCTTCTGAGCAAACATGCTATCCATACTCCTGCTGAGATCAAGGTTTGTCTTGATGTTCCAGATAACTCTAATTATTTAGACAAAGAGATAAAATTAGACAAATTAATTGGACAAATGTTAAAAAAAAAAAAAGTACAGATGGTTAGAAGCACCTAAAATCCCATGTGGTGCAATGACTGCTAAGTCAGCTAACGATATTTTTATGAATGAGAAATCTAATAAGGAAGGGAAAGCAGTTAAAATTTGCCCTAGAGCAATTGTAACTTCTACACCTCTTTTTTTGGTTCATAAACACCTCTGTCTCCTGCAAAAACACTTGTGAGTATATTTTTTAATATCGTTTGTTGCTTGACTTCATTGTTCTGCAAATCAGTAAATGAATTCCACTTGCAGATCAGTTTTTGTTTTTTTTCCTAAGACAAGGAATATTTATACCAGACTGCTGCTCCTACTTTTGCCTTTAAAATCACACACCCAAAGAACTCTGTCTTGTGGAAATACACAGCTGTAGCAAAGTGCAGTATGCACGTGGAGAGATCTTGTAGGCCAGACTATGACACATATTTTGCTAGCATTAATCTGTTAAGAAGCTGCAGTCATGAACTGAATAGAATAGCACATGCTGTATGTCCCATTTAACTGTTAAATACAGTCAAGGAAGTTGTTAGGTGTACTTCATAGTTCCTTTGTCTCAACTTCAAATTACAGTCATTCTTTTATTTTGCTATTGCTGATTTATAGCAAAACACAGCAGAACAGGCTCTCACACAGTGATTATAGATGAATTATTCCTGGTTGATGCTGATGTAAGGCAGAATCATCTCTTTGAAGTCAGATTTTTACCCCAGAGCACGGAGGAAGAGAAGCTGTTCTCTTTAGCTGAGGCAGTTGGTTTTCTTGTTTATGCAGAAGTTCATGGCTTGTTAGCACTCCCGACTGTTGCAAAGTACGTAATGAAAATAAGAAGTGCAGAGCAGAAAATGTCTAAAAAATCAGAGAAGCCTATGGAGCTGGTGAGAAAATGAGAGGTGACATGAGAACAGGAAGGAAAGGGGAAGGTTATGTCATTAGAGACTGGAATTCAATGTTTTGATGAAACTCCATGGATACAGGAAGAAGCAGGGCGGGTAAAAATAGCCAAATGAAAATGGTATGAGTTCCAAGAATTCAGTCCTCTGAAAAGAAGGAAATAAAGGTTCTTGCTTAAAGACAGGCAGAAAAAAGTTACATATTTTTATGAGCCATTAGAAAGAATAAAGGAGAAACAAAAGGGGTGAAAATTGCTGACTGCTATTTCTCTCTTTTTTTTTCTCCAATGAAAACTTGGAACTTTGTGTTGTTACACACAACTCATGCAAATTGTGGTTCAACTCCCAAGAAAGACAGAACCCTTTTTTTGAAGAACTGTCTCATCAAAAGACCTTGGAGGCCGTGCACTTTGTGGGGTGGAGCACATGTGTGCACACATGCTTACGAGTACAAAATTTACTCACTCCCTGACTGATAGAAAACATTGCCCATCACCGTGTGAGAAAATGGCCACAACATATAAAATAGTTTACTTCACAGGATTTAAATTTGCCTAAAGCCAGTGAGCAATTAGGCTTTTTGGTACTGAATTTTATACGCTTGTATCCCTCCCACTGAGATTCTTATCTATGAAACAGAAAGCTCTTGAAACAAGAAAAAGAAAGTAAAAAGTGGGCCAATTTACTTGGATTTGTTGTTGTTGTTGTTAATTTCAGAACAGATGGTAACATATCACAATGGAAGTTTTATAAAAAATTCCATCTTTTAACTTTGAGTGCAGGCCTTAAATTTTTCCCTGGTGAAAATATGGAGCGTGAGTCATTAAGCATGCTATGCTGTATCTGCATGGGATTTTCACTTACTGCATTTCAGAAAAGTCAGAAAGCCGTTCCATTACAGCAGATGAATTTTTTTCTTCTCCACCTGGGCAAATGGCCAATTCCATCATCTCAGGCTCAGCATTACGAACAAGGAAGGTACAGACTGAGAAAGGATTGTAATGCACAGACAAGGGGAAAGTCCAAGGGCAGGAGTCAATTTCCAACACTCAAACAATTGTCAGAAGAAGTCGCCTGAGTTAGCATTTCTCCAGTCCAGTCTGAATTCACTAATTGAAAAGTTATGGCCTGCTTTTACAAACCAGAAGTTGTATTGCCTGCAGGGTGTTCAGAACCTACTGCATCTTGCCCCTAAATCATTATTATATAGTGATGGACTAAACCTAATCTTTGCTGGGACTCCATCTGACATTCAGCACTGATTGCTGTGGGGCAAATAGGCCCAGAGATGCTGAGTGTCATCTTTTGTAGCCCTACTGATCTGACTTGGGAGAGCTAGAGGAGTTCCATCTCTCCAGTCTATAGTGCTGCTCATCTTAGTGAAGCTATAGGACTTTGCAGTGGAGAAAGAAAGGGATTGTTACATCGAAGCTTCGATATATTTGTAAAATCCTTTTGTTCTCTCCAGGGCCAAGACAGCAGTCTCTGGTGCATAGTTGCACAGTTGTTAATTTGCAGCATCTTCCAGAGGACTGCAGTGTTTGTTGGCTTTATCAGCCTGCTGTTCCTTGGACTGGTCTTTGTAACACATTTAGATCAAAACTGCCTTGGAAAAGTCAAATCGGAGTCTGAGATTTGCTATTTGGAACTTCCTCTGTGGCATCTAAGGGTCTCTACACCCACTCTGGATTGGACATGTTAAGTAAGGCATGAGATGTATTTTCTCTTAGTTACTCCAGTTAATGAGTGTGTTAGAAATGCAGAAGGATGGATGGATGGATGGATGGATGGATGGATGGATGGATGGATGGATGGATGGATGGATGGATTTATCATCTTACAAAGTCTCTGTCAGATCAGTTAATTATTCCCAACCTTTGTGGTAGTTACTGTCATCTAGAAGTGAGGTGAGCGGCGTCTTTTTGGATGGCCAGAATGATATAGAACACAATTTCCCCTGAAGAAATAGCTTGCATACCTTATATAATGAATGAGCTCATTTTGCCTGTGTTTGCCAGAAACAATAAAAGTTAGAAAATGTCCCAGTAATTAAAATAAAGTGTTACCCAGATTTATGGTGAGAAATGTGAAATGTCAGGCAATTGAGTGCAGCTCTGCACTCACAAATAAGCTTCACATTCGTTAGAACAGGTTGCATTCATTACTAAGAACAGTGTGGGTCCAGTGCTAGCCCCAGAAGGCAATGAATGGTTTCTCCTGCTCAGGGAAAGAAAGCAGAGGGGAGGGAAGGATGCCAGCTGGCATGTTAGCTGATGGATTTTAGGTCCTAGTGGTAATGCTGCAGTGTGCACGGCACAGGCATGATCATTGCTTCAGCATGGGCTTTGGATTACACCATGGGTAATAGGAAGAAGAGAGGGCCATTCTCAGGCCTGCCACATGCGGGAAAGAAATCCAGCAGAAAGTTTTTGAAAGGGTGGATATGAAAAAGGGAAATCAAGCAAGGCCAGCCTTTCCTGCTACCCCTCAGTCATTGTTTGTTTTTTAATGCAAATATTGTACCTACAGCCCTATGAACATGAGTTCATTGCTCTCTTAAAATAAACCCCGCTTATTTCAAAGACCATTTCTTTTGTCAAATGCCACACAACACACACAGATCCAACCGAATTCTTTTTGGTAGTATGCACGTAGATGTAGGGAAAATTGAAAGTGTAAGACTGTTGGAAATAGAAGTGAAACTCACTAAAAGTCTACAGTGCAAGCTCATTTGAACAGTTATCTTGCAAGTCATGCTCAAACACCACAACTGGCTTTCTGCTCTGTGCAGCTAGAAAGGGGTAGGTCGCTGAAATGTCCTGCTGTAATACTGAGAACTGCTTGCTGCTTTAACATCTCCTTTCACAGCCCTTTATACTTCTCTTTTCTGAGATAGCCAACTAAAAAAATGAAGAAATTTGAAATGAAAATGCTTTATGTAACAACTAGTCTGTCTAGAACCTAAATTGTGTCTTCCTGAAAAAGAGAATGGGGCAATGTTAAATCACAGACACTTGTGTTGGATTCTCTTCTCACATAAATTTAATTTGTGAATAGTTCTAGGAATATCAATGGAGGTTTGTTAGAAAAAAGTAGTCATTAAGTTAAATCACTTGATTTGAATTTGATAAAAGATTTAGGTTCTGATTAAAAATCTGTGGGATGGCCTTAAGCCAATTGTACATTATCTCTGTTCCTCAGTTCCACATCTGTAAAATGACAGTATGAACGTTTCTTTTTTATTACATGCTTGTAAGAAAAATCACATTATGCTAATGAGGTGTGCATATGCTTTAATCACAGGTTCATTCAGAGAGTCCATAAATAAAACAAATATGAGGTCAACACTTGAGAATTTGGGAGAGAGGTGTAGAAATTCCAGATTTTAGGACAGTATGTTCTGAATTATTGAAGTGATGATGCAAGCATTTATGCCCATAGAGTGCCTAGTGCTGTACGTGTTATTTATAGGAGACCCGGGCCTTGAAAATAAATTGCAGGTTCATGTGTCAGATCAGCAGATAGAGGATCACTTTTCAACAGACGTTAGATATCATAAATTTCAAGCAGACTATGGGGGCTCATTCCCCACTGTAGTTTTGGATTTTAAACTGTTGGAAAACACATACCAAAGAACACAAGAAAATAGACTACAATCAGAAGCAGTTGTGATAACCCTGCTTGCACATAATAAGGTCTCACAAAGTCTTTCTAAGAAAGGTGCACTTTAGCATATAAACATTATTTGCAAACTATGGATACTGTGATGATGAGAAATTATCTTAAAGATGGAAGAACTTACAAAAAGATAAGCAGATGCTTGAAGTATGTGATAGGCTATTGGGAGGAAATGTTTGGCCTTAAAGTTGCATGTGGGTTTCAGGTGAGATGGAAATGAAGCATTATTAATTGTACCATTGTGCAAGTTGGTACACGCAGCTGTAGAACCCAGCTCTGTTACCCTTTTACTCATCACAGCAGCTGCAGCAGATCAAATCAGTATTCCCACAGCTTCTCTGCATGATCGAGTGCATGTAGGAGGGCAAGAGAGGGGAGTTAACCTACTTTGTTTCGGTGAAGCTCAAACCTGAGGCTTTGCTAATCAGCAGCTCCTGTAGTGCAAGGTTGGCATGCTCGTTTCCTTTGATACTGACTGTTTGGGGATAGACTCGACAAGACGCTTTGCATAAGTCTTATGTTGAACTTTGTCTTAAATGTGTTGATTTTTTTTTTCCCCAGAGCAGTGATAGTGACTGTCTGTTGATATCTCCTGAGTAAGAACTGTGATAGGAAGAATTACCGAGGGTGAATAGTAACAACTGAATTAAGTACATTTTTACTTTTTTTTTAAATAGGAATAAGGTTTTGTCTTGGTATTTATATCTCTTTCTCTGTTGGTTGTGTATACTACGGTCTGCTTATTGCTGGGTATGCTGAGAAAGGAAAGGTTATGTGTAAATATAAATGATAAAAAGCCTGTGCAGTCCTGAGTGACCTAGGGCTGCTCTGTGAGCTCCTCTGGGAACCCCAAGAGTTCCAGCTTGTGTGCCCTTCTCTGTGTCTGACTTTCCAGTAAATTAATTTTTTTATTGGCAGTAGCAAACATGGCTTTTTTTAATGAAGTGTTTGGCAGCACCCACTGGGGCATGTAGGTACAGTGTGTAGGTAGAAGGGGCAGCCCTGGGCAGCATACTAGGCAATGTAGAGTGAAAAAATTCTAAAAGATGGGGAATTCTTTCATGTGCTTTTAACAACCCCTTAACTCTCCTATATTTCCTAAGATGTTTGATGATTGTATGCCTGTTAGTCAAACTTAAAGTCAGTTCTCAAGTTCAATAGTCAGACAGCTTTTCTGACTAGCCTGCTGTATTGTGCTAGTGTTCTCATGGCCAGGACTAGGGACTTCTGGAGCAAAAAAAAGTTGGTTGTTTTAGTTGTTGAACTTGAGCTACAAAGCTGAGTCTTATACTGGAGTCTCTGCTTAGTGGTGTTAGAAGGTGCTATAAATGTGATAAAACATAATTAGTTAGCTGAACTAAGCGAATAAACCGTAACATAATTAGCTGTCATCAACTAAAAGAACAGATATTAAACCAATCTATTCTGCAGAGAGAAGAGAAGCAAAACCCAGGAGAGGAGCAGCATTCTGGGTGCAAGTCATGAATGCCAGAAGGGAGAAAGGTAAGATCTTCTGTTTTCTTTACTTTGTTCAAAGTACAAACGTTCCTAACCTTGGGTTACAGAGAGAGACAAAACACTTGTCTTCCTCAGCAAAGTGGCCCCTACTTACACATCTATCTATAAGCCACCTCCCCATATACAGTCTCATAGTTACCAATTTTATTTTTACCACTCCTGGACTGGATCTTGCCACTACTTAGAGCATAGTAAAATCTCACAGTAACCTTATGGATGGGGATTGCCTGGACACAGCTTGAACCAGTGATTGAGTACCAGGTGAAAAGGTGTGGCTAACCCAGGGCACACAGGTGCAAGCAATGAACCCTGGATCCACCCCTCCTCACTCTCATTTAAGGGTTAGCAGCTGAGGGAGTAGGATCTCTGTCTAGAAGTTGCCCCTTCTGGAGACTTTACTGACCTTCATAAAAGGTAAGTCACTTGTTCATGGATCATCTAAACTATATCCTGATGAATACCTTCATGAGTGTGTTTGTATCTTGGTAGAATGCAATATTACTGCCTTCCCTTGCACCATAAGTTATAAGTAAGTTATTAGAACATAAGTTAAGCCTGTAATTAGTCTGTATGAAGTATAACATAGAGAATTCTACTATGCAACATTCCAAGGTTTACCTAGAAAATGGTGGGACCTCACATGTGGTAAATACTGTAGAAGTCCCAGCTGCCTCAGTAAGCTCAGGCCTGAAAGAGGTTGCATAGTTATTTTTTCCATTAATTAGAAAAAAAAAAAAAGGAGAGAAAATCCTGTTTTAATGTGAGTCTAATGCTGACCTTCTCAGGCAGTGACTTTTTTTTTTTGATTCATCATAAATGTCATAGATTTGCGATTTTTTTCTTGTGACTTCTTGATGCTTTAAAATTCTCTTATTTCAGTACATTTCTAGGAAAAATGTATCAACAAAATGTGGTCTCTTCTGAAAAACTAATGTTTAAGCATTTGTTTTGCTAAAAAGATAAAAAGTTGATGTGCATTTGTGAAGTAATTTTCTGTGAGTTGAATCTTTATGTTGATTTAAAAAAAAAAATACTTGATTGAGAAAGACTGTGTGATTCTTGGATATGTCTTTGTCAGCAGAGAGTATGAAACCCTATTCTGCAGGTTATGGATAGTTTGGCATTCCCCTGTTGCACTGTGAGGGAAATATCAGTGGAAAGACTCCCCTTTTGTGGAGGCTCTCTGGAGGAGAGGAGGGGAAGAAACATCCTAGCTGCATAGAAATGGTCTTACTTCAGTAGCTGTGTGTCATAATTAGAACTAAGTATGTACAACACAAACATGGAGAAATTAGATACTTGCTGCTGTAATGAATTTACCATCTAGCATAAGCTACAGTAGGAGTCTTGATGCGTCACATTTGTACAAGTGCTTTCATTTTTCACTTTCTTTCCTTCTTCACAACTGGTTCTTCCCAAGCATTTTGTCAACAGTTGCAATTTGCAACACAGTTCTCTACAGTGCCCAGGTCTTCCTGACTAAGCAGACATCTAAAACCAGAGGGGGACTGTGGTGAATTTGTTTAGGAAATACTTCTCATGTGAGCGTGTAAAAAAAAAAAAAAAAATATATATATATATATATATATACACATAAACATGGTGTGCTGTACTCTAGAAACATGTAGAGGTTGGACAAGATACTTGTGAGAAGCACTGAGTTCTTCAAAATGAAGGCAATGTGGGGGTGTGGGGGGAAATGAACTGCCTGTTAAATATGGAAAATGGAGTCTGCTTTTTGTTCTGGGCCTTTGGAATCTGTGGGTGGATTGGAACTGGCAGGCAGGGAGCAAACACCCACCCACCACAGGGCTGTGTGGTTCAGAAGTTTACAAGAGTGTTTGTGTTCCAGGAGCTGTTGGCCTTGAAGCCAATGGAGAGGGGGAGGAGAAGAGGGAGAGAGTGAGAAAAACAGTGTGGTGTTGGGGCCCTTCCTCTGAGATATTTTTTCCCTTCTCCTTTCTTCAGCTAGAGGGCTTTGCAGCTGAAGCAAGACGAACAGTTACTGGGGGAAAGATTAATAGGATTTTAAGATGCACAGCACTCACAATCCGTCATCAGGGTGGCAGAGGATTCAGAAAGTATTGCCACCTTAATCCCTGGTGACAGTGCTCTTTGCTCCCCCCTTCTGCCCCGCTGCTTTGTAGTTCTGCAAAGTCTGTGGGATACAGGGAAAACAAGCTTTGCTGTTACTGCTTGGGTTGCAAACTGGCTTCTGTTGCTTTATGGATTTAGGTTTGGAAGCTGCTCCCCTAATCAGTTACCATCTGAGTAGAGCAGACATAGAAACTGAGGCACGCAGGAACTGAGCAACTTGCCCAAGGCAACAGGAAGTCTGCAGGAGACCTGGGAATGGACCCCAGATGTCCTGAGTTCAGTCTTAACCACCAGACCATCCTTCCTGTCCTTTTGGTAGTCCTCTCTGCTTCAGAAATTCCATTTATGGATTACACCCATTAATTAATCACTCACCTCTTGCCTGATCCAGTAATTTACTTGCACTAAAGAGTCATTTGGAAAGAAAAAACCAACAACCAAGCACCTAACATGAGCTGCAGTTACTACTGTCCTTCCTGAAGAGTAAAGGAGGAGTGCAAGAAAACCCAGCATCCAGATCTAAGAGGCTTTTCCATTACTAAGCAGACTTCCTGCAAACAATAATTTTACTCTTAACCAAATTGGATTCCCTATACTTGATGTTTGAGTCTATCTGCATATTTATATTTCAGTGGGTTTAAAACAACAAAAAAAGACTGAAACAGAATTAAATCCATGTAGAGCACGAATCTGGTGCTGTCTGCTGCTCCGGGTACCTCTGATAGAAACCCGTTTGGATGCTGCATCCCTAATGGGGCATCTGCTGCTGTGTGCAAACACCAACCTGCCGTTCTCTGCACTTGGGTGTGCTGACACAGCTGATGGGTGCGTGGTTCCTTCCCTTTCGGTGCTGCTCTGCGATCCCTGGGGCTGGCACTGGGCTGCTGCGTGCGGCGGTGCTGGGCTCGGAGCTGTGACGCCTTTTTCCCTCTGAATGGGACTTCAGAGCACAGAAACACAAATAGTGTCTGAGCTCGGTGCGATCCCTGCTCGCATCGGTCCTGGCTGAACCTCAGCCTGTTTGGTTTGGTGAGGTTTTTTGTTTGCTCTTGTAATTATTTGGAAGACCATGGCTTTGCTTTACTCTTTTATTTTACCGGGCTTTATCCTCATTCGTACCACGGTGGTTGGCTCTGCCAGAAGAGACCAGGCGCTCGCTGCACCACGAAGCACGGCAAGGCGCTACGAGCAGTGCGTCAAGTCGCTCTCGCATCAGAAATATCTTAGTTGTGTGTATGTGGAACTTTCCAGCCTTTTCTTTTTGCGAGATTCGTTGGTAACAGAGCTAAGCTGTCGGGCTTGTGTTTTACGTCTGTGTTTCAGCGTCAGTCGGAGCGCTCCAGCCGTTCCGCTCACTCGGGCCGTGGAAGAGAAGACGAGCGGGCGCCGAGCTCGTGCGCTGGGGCGGCGCTCCGGCTGCGTGCCGCGGCTGCCACCAGGGGGCGCCGTTCCCTGCGCGGAGCCGCGGCTTCGGCCCGACCGCGGCCCTCCGGGCGCCGCCATTTGGCGCAGCGGCGGCCGCCTCGCCCGGAGCTCCGCCGGCGGCCTGTGGGTCGCGGCTGGCGGTCCGCGGGAGCTGAGCGCGCCGTCCCCGCGCGGTGGCAGCGGCTTCACGTTGTGCTCGCCGCGTCAACGCGGAGCGCGGCTCGGTGCCGGACCCCGCGCTGCGCTGCTCGCACGTGTGGCATCGCCGCTGCTGCGGCTCCGCACTAAACTTGCTTGCCGCAAGCGGGTTTAGCGGCGACGGGGCTTAGGTGGTGCTCTCGCGCTTCGCGTGTGCGCTGGGTACATGCGCTGCTCTTCGTTCCCTTTATTTATTTTTTTTTTAACTGTTGTCCAGAAATAAAACGACGAGAGGAACGAGCCCGCGCCCTGCCGCCCCTCCTTCGCGGCGCGCCGCTCTGTGAACCCAGCAGTTCTCCCTCCCCCCGGCGCGGCCGCCCCAGGCTGAGCTGCGCCTGCCCGTGCAGCAGCCGCGCGGGAGGGGGGAGGCGGCCGCTGTTCCTGGAAGAGCCCGGCCTGGGGAGTTGGTCACATTCTTGGCCGGGATTCAATGACTGAGGCAGACACCAACAAACAGAGGGGGGGAGGAGGAGGAGGAGTGAGGGAGGCTGAGCCAGCCCGCATTAGCTCAGCTCTCAGGCACTCTCAGTCTCTGCTGGAAAGAGGAGCTGGGAGGATGTGCGCGCTGTTACCGCGGCTCCCCACGGCACGCTGAGAGCGAGAGGAAGAAAGGAAGAAAGGGGAGCGCGGCGCCGGGGAGCCCGCCCGGATCGAGCGAAGGGACCGCGCGGGGAAGGCAGCCCGTCCGCAGCCCCGCGCCGCTTTGGAAGTGTCGGAGATTGGGGCCTTTTAATTCTATTCCGCGTTGCTCCCTTCCCCGCACCGAGCCGCCTTCCTCCTCCCGCTTTTTACTTTCCTCCCCCGCTCCTTCCTCCTGGTGGATATGGACACGAGCGGGATCGCTGCAGAGAAGCAGCAGCCGCCAGCGCGTATTTAACCCGCGGTGTCCGGAGCGCGGCTCGGACCGGCGTTCCGGGGTGGCAGTGCGCGCTGCCTGCGGCCGCCGGCTCGGATGAAGACCTCGCTTCGACGTGACTCTGCGCTCCGGCCGGGCGGCGTCGGGGCCGGGCACGGCGAGAGATTGTGACGGAGCGACAGAACGGAAAGGAGAAAGAGACGCGTACGAGAAGGATTTATTTCCTCGTCGTCTGTGGATTGCTAAACCTGAGTGGGAAGGGGAAAAAACAAGAGTGGGTTGTTGTTTTGTTTAAAAAAAGAAAAAATCCCTTAAGTGGATTTGTACCAGCGTGGAAGATAACTGGGGATTTTTGTTGTTTGTTTTGGGAATAGAAACTAAAAAATGGAGACTGTAAGTAGAAGCAGCTTCCAGCCTCATCCAGGACTGCAGAAGACCTTGGAACAGTTTCATCTGAGCTCTATGAGCTCCCTGGGTGGCCCTGCTGCTTTCTCAGCGCGATGGGCACAGGAGATGTACAAGAAAGACAATGGCAAAGACCCAGCGGAACCTGTGCTGCATCTGCCCCCTATCCAGCCCCCCCCGGTGATGCCTGGTCCATTCTTCATGCCCTCGGACAGATCCACTGAGAGGTGCGAGACCATCCTGGAAGGGGAAACCATCTCCTGCTTCGTGGTGGGTGGGGAGAAGCGCCTTTGCTTGCCCCAGATCCTGAACTCGGTGCTCAGGGACTTCTCCCTGCAGCAGATCAATTCGGTGTGCGATGAGCTACACATTTACTGCTCCAGATGCACCGCCGACCAGCTGGAGATCCTCAAAGTCATGGGCATCTTGCCCTTCTCTGCCCCCTCCTGCGGGCTGATAACTAAAACTGATGCTGAGAGGCTTTGCAATGCCTTGCTTTATGGTGGCACCTATCCTCCCCACTGCAAGAAGGAATTCTCTAGCACGATCGAGCTGGAGCTTACAGAGAAGAGCTTCAAGGTGTACCACGAGTGCTTTGGGAAGTGTAAGGGACTCCTGGTACCAGAGCTTTACAGTAACCCCAGCGCAGCCTGCATCCAGTGCTTGGACTGCAGGCTCATGTACCCGCCTCACAAATTTGTGGTCCACTCTCACAAATCCCTGGAAAACAGGACTTGCCACTGGGGCTTTGACTCTGCAAACTGGAGGTCCTACATCCTCCTCAGCCAGGATTACACTGGGAAAGAGGAGAAAGCTAGGCTGGGCCAGCTCTTAGATGAAATGAAAGAAAAATTTGACTATAACAACAAATACAAGAGGAAAGCCCCCAGGGTAAGTGATGCCTTAAATTCTTATTTTAAGAAGGAGTAGGGGGGAGAGAAAGAGAAAAGGGATTTTCGATGACGTCCATAGATGTACTCAATTTGTTACCAACTGTTTTCCTTTTAGAGTCGTTTAGCAATCTAATCGCATTCTTAATTCTCACCACGTGTGCGTTCATGCAGACGACCAGCGTTCGACATGGCTCCTTTTTTTTCCTTTTTCCTCTGGTTGTGTTTTGAGCACAGGAGCTGCAGTTCAGTTATTCTATATATATGTTTGTATATCGTATTGTACACGGAACCTGATCTTTGAAACCCATCACGCTGCCCCACTTCAGCAGGAAGTGATTTGGGGTGCCAGGAGCTTCACTGGAGGTCAAGACGAGGAAGAAAGGAGGGAAAAATAACTCTGATTGCCCCAGACACAAACGCATACAATTTTCTTCTCGACTGTATGCCTCCAGGGATGGAGGCAGGGGCCGAGCCGTTTAAATGCTTGAGCTGGAATAAAATGCGGCTGCTGAGAAAAATCCTGACAGCGATGCAGGTTACTGGTGTTCAGTTCAGTGCAGAACGGGAGCGGAGCAGTCTGTGCTTTTAGGGGATCCCAGCTGAGTCTGACTGCCCCCAGCAAGACAGGCTTTTGTATATCGGATTATGTGTGCGTCCAGTAAATGGATCTGAAGGGCCAGCTGCAGCAGCTCGTTACGGTGTGCCCTGCTGTCCTGAGGCCGGACAGCCCGAGCGGATTTCCAGGTGCCCGGTGTTTTCCTTTCAGCCCGGGCTGCCTGCAGGCCCCGCCATTCCCGCTGTGTGGGCGAAAGGCGCGGTGCCACGGGTGGGCAGCGGGGGGGAGGCGCAGCTTCTGCCCCTTCTCAGCCCCACGGAGGGGATGAAAGCAAAGCAGAGCAGTCTGGCCTGCAGGTTTGCGGGCGGATTCTGCCTCCTCCATCAGAGATCTTGGAAGTTTTCTTCGGTTTTGTGTGTCTGGAGTGGAAGGGCAATCACATAAAAAGAAAAGGAACTTCGAAAGCCTTGTGAGAATGTTAGGTGAAATTCTTAGTTAACTTCCCAAATACCTGTTTAGACGTGCAGATACACGCTCAGACTAAATATGGCTTTTATTAAACAACAAAAAGCAAACCAGGGGGGTTTTCAGCCCCCCGCACGCAGTGCAGCAGGCAGTCCGGCTGGCCCCAGGGGCCTGGCCAATCCATTTGGTTGGGCTCCGCGTTTCTGCCTCTAGGATTCTCTCTCTCCAAGTCCAGTTTCTCCCCTGCTCTTCTGCTTAGCCCCCATTTCGGTCCTTGTCCTCACCCCTCCCTCTTTCCTCCAGCCGGAGTGTCAGAGCCGCTGTGACAAAGCGGGGCTGTAATGAGCCCCATTATCTCCGTGGCTGGAGGTGGATGTGTTTTTAATGGCTTGTCTATTCTCCGTCAGTCATGTGCTAAGGGGATGCTGGGGAAGATGCGCATGAATGTCTGCGAGAGGAGAAAAGGGCTCCGGCAGCGGAGCCGTCTTTCAGCCTGCGCGGTGAATTTTCTTGGGCGTGCTCTGGGAAACTAAATAAAAGAATCCCTACTTTCTTCCTTCTGGGAGGGGATTGTGCGCCTGGGTTGGTCATTTCCACAGTGTGATTTAAATGAACGCTTTTAAAGGTCTGCATTTCTCTTCTTACAAGGCTCTTACGGCACTGTTCTGTTGTGTGATTTATCCCAGGTGAGGACGCAGGTGGAGAACGGGACAAAACTGCAAAGTTTTGGCATTGCCTTACTCTTGTGGTGACTCTTAGCAGTCCTAGCTCAGAACATGGCCAGCACTCTTTCTCCTGCCCTCCAAAATTTGCTTGCAGCACTTCTTGGAGAGTGACTTCAGGGTATTTGATAGTACCTAACAAGGGACGCCAAAAATTAGACAAGAAAATCATAACTGCGTGTTTTTGAAACGATTTTGCAAAAGTTTGTCGTGATAAAATGTTAAAAGTCTCCTGTGTAGGTTCACTTAGGAGTGGGAAGCAGCTGTGGGAAGGATGGTGTGGTTGTGTGTGCTCAGATGACAGGATAGCACACATCCTGTGCAGGACGCCTTTGAGTTTCCAGGCTCTCGAGTTGTCTTCTCGGCTCCTATTCATGTGGCACAGTCTTCACGAGGCCCTGACATCACTGGTGGAGTTTTGAACGCTTATCCTTCCTTTTTCTGTAGTCTTTTTCCATAGGGCTTAGCCAACGGATATCATATGCTAAGGTCATTTGTGCTGTAGCAGAGCGTGTGGATAATTACGGCGAGATTTAATCTGGCTCTAAGGTTGGTAGGCTGTGGCCAGGGGCAAGTAACACTGGAGTAAAGTTTAGATGCCTAGTAAGGAAATGAAGGGATGATCCTGTGTCTGCCTCTGTGTGTTATTGTTAATCACTGTCAGTCTGTGTGGGTTTTGTGTGTCTGCTGGGCTCTGTGTCTGTCTGTCTGTGTGGATGAAAGGGTGAAGCATATGTGTCTTTGTGGTGGTCTTCCTTTTTGATGTAGATCTCTGTGTCGCTTTGTTCTGCTTTATGCAGAGGTGTCTGTGTGTGTTATATGCCATAATCTGCTGTGTCAGATGCTGTCTTCTGTGTGCAAGAGGCTTTCTAAAATAATTTTCCCGATTAATTTATCTGTGTATGTGTGTACAGTGTTGTGCTTTCCCTGGGTTCTGCCAGTGCGTTGCAGCTTGGGATGC